GTGTTATTTTGTACGTTCTTATCACATGTTGAATCCCGAGTGAAAACAGCAATACGTCCGGATCGGCACGCCACTCACAGGCGGGGGGTGCCGTCTTTCCTCTCTCTCTCTGCTGTAAGCTGAAAGCCTAGCTCGGATGCAACCCTAATTAATCGCGATATCGCAGTCTCCCATCATGCAGACATTAACGGCGGGCGCGATGGTCCCTCGACCAACACCCCTCCCCTCCCCTCCGCTTCACAACCATGCTCTCCCGAATACTGCGCTTCGTGCCTTTAGTGGCCCTACTCATCCTCCTCCTCAGCACCTTTTACTATCTCTATCGGGCCATTCACGTCGACACCCATCCTGATCTCGACCTGGGCCTTGAGACCGCCACCACCACCGACCTCAAAACCCTTCCCGACAACACCGTTAGTCAACTCGTCGCCGACTCTCACCATGAAATAACATCCAACTCGACCCCGGAAGGCCGATACTTCCGCATCGACTTCCGCTCCCGACGCGGTATTAACCCCAGCATCATCCCGCACCCCTCCAAGCCCAACACCTGGATCATCACCGCGCAGCTTCATGAACCCGGTCGTCGCGACAAAGACAGCGCCTGGTTCGTCGAACTTGTCTGTGATGCCGTCTTCCAAGACAAAGGCCGCACTCTCCGCTGTATTGACTATCCGTTTATCCTCCCCATTGCTGCAACCGAGGGCAACAACGCCCTCTGCTCCGGCAGCCTCGCCTTCTTCGCCCTCAGCATCGGTCCACACGATGCCCGCGTCTTCTACGGCCCAGACGCCCCGTACACCATCTACGGTTCCAACTCCGCCGTGACCTGCTTTGGCCAGTGGATTCTCGACTTCCGACTCCTAGTCGACTGGCCTGCCTCCGACACCATCACCGACTTTGGCTTCCGTCGCGCCACGGAGCTCCAGCGCCCTTCAACGGCCCCGTACTTTGCTGTCGAAAAGAACTGGTTTCTCTTCTGGGATCGAGCCGGCAACGCCTACGTTCACTACGACGTGGCACCCACAAGAGCCTTCGCTGCCTTGACTCTAGACGGATCCGTCGGCTCTGATCTCGCTCCAGCAGCAGCGAATGTAGACGCAGCCTGTCTTCAGAAATACCTACCGCATATGCAAGACCCCGACCACGAATCCATCCACCAAGCCACGAACTCCCTAGCAGTGACGCTGTGTATGCGTGCAGACCCGAACTGCCAACCGGATGACTCGAACACGGTCATCTTAACGATCTTCCAGCATAAGCGATTTGTGGGGTTCCATAGTAGCTACGAACCGTACGTTATGCTGTTCTGGCAAAGGGCGCCGTTTGAGATCTACGGGATTTCGGATAAGCCTTTGTGGATTCACGGACGGAAAATGATGGAAGAGGGGAACCAGACGGAGATGATGTATGTGACGTCAATCGGGTGGAAAACTGCTGGGCAGAAGTATCATGGGTATCTTGATGATGTGATGTTCTTGGCGTTTGGGATAGAAGATGCGGATACAGCGGGGGTGGATGTGGTTGCGGGGGATTTGGTGACTGGGGTGGGGAGATGTTGATCTCTTATCTTACTCAGATTATATTATAGAATGGGGGAGGGTAGATTGCGATGTGACATGCTATGATGGCATTTCTTATGATTACTATGTTGAATGTGATATTGTACGATAACAACTCCCCCCTTCCATTTTCCATCTTCCCTCGGTAACACAATTTATCGTGTGATCAGACCCCCAATGCAACCACAGCTTAAATTAACTTGGCAACCTCCGAACCCAACCAGTCCGACCATTATGTCGGGATACATATTAGGCACACATTAGCGTGTCGCTCAGGCCGCTTATCTACCTGTCTCGGTCAGCACTAAGCTGGTTCTGGGCCGTGGAGCTCGTGCAGGTCAGGTGGTCATTGGTAATTTTAGCTAACGCAGTGGTCTGATTGCTTAATTAAATTGGAAATGAAGCTTTCACATGCTATGTGAGGCTTACTTTGTTGTTCTTTTCCCGAGGAAAATGGAGTTGTTTGTTCCTTGCCTCAGGGTCTCTTGTTGGAGGTGGCTTATTACCCCGCTTTTAGGTTTTATTAAGCTGGATCTAAGTTTAGCCGTGGGGAGACGGTTGAGATTGTTGCTTGGCACGATAATTGAGACATTGATCTGGAACGGAGTTTGCGCGTTGGCCTGATTGTATATTACGTGATTGGGTTCGGATTGCGCAATAAGATTTGATGTGGGACAGTGACTGTTGGCGTCTAACTTGGACAATGTCTGAGTGAGTCAATATTATGTTGAGACATTTCCCGCCGTCTATCCTCGGGACAAACACAATATGTTATTTTTGGTTCATCGATTGGCTTGTGGACAAATTGTCTAGTTGGTTATCTGGATTGCAGCGCTGGCGCTATGGCACCTGGAAAATAACCAAGGGCCTAATAATATTTTCTCCAATTCTATATATCCAGTCTAAGATACTTCAGGGTTCTAGATACAGAATCCGTGAATGTTGCAGAAAAGGGGGCACAGAAGAAGCAATGCGGGCACGAAAGACTATTGAACATTAAATATAGGAGTGTGCATGTACATCCCTCACATTGATAAATCTGAACTGCCAACTGTTAGAACATTCCTGTAAAGCTGACCAGAGCAACTCTATGCCCCCCTAAGAGGATTGCTATTGATCAGGTGAAGTGGATATTATACTTTCCCCTACACCCGCACGCCCTCGGCTAGCAGATTGAACAAGAAGATCGACAGTTTATCAGTTGAAACGAACAGCATTTACTCGGCTACTCATTTGATACACAAGCCTGAATGGCAACACCTTTGAGTCAGTAACCCGATTTGAAAGTCTCCAAAAGGTATCTCGCCGCTTTCGCAATACTCACACATCGAAATCGCCTGGCAGCGGCTTCAATAATCACCCCAAGGATGCGGAATTTTCAGAGTAATTCAATGATTAAGAGCCAACTTAAACAGTCTTCATTTGCTGCGCATGTCAGTTGTGACCATGGTATGAGGCCTGGTGAAATCGAGGCCGTTCAATGGTTGATATAGCATTCTCTCAATTGCATTCGACTGGGTGTCAGGTGGATATACATCAATATTAGTAATATCTCTTGATTGGCCCATGATGAACTGGATAGGTTTGACGCCCCTATTTTCTACTAGTGCCAGTACTTCTCTTTGATGCTAAAGTCAATTACAAGACAAGCAAAGTAATGAAGATTCTTGAATAGCCGGACGAACAGACCCACCATTAAATCATTGATCAGATGCCATGTACAAGCTTTCATTCTATTTCTATAGTGTACATGCTTTGAACCATTACCAGCATGTTCATGGATCAAGATCTGCAGTGCAGCAATTATTATGCTCTGCGAGCCATAAGGAGAATGCTGCGCGTTTCTAATTCCAGCTTGATCTCCCGCCAGTTTCCCCCGGACATAGTAATACGCCACCAGTCCTCTTCACGCTCAATCATGTCTTGCATCAGGTTATCAACTATGTCACCAGCACCACCCTCTTTTACCGAAGCACAATGAGGATGTGCCCTCCGCCATTCATGAACAGAACTCCATGTCCGCAACAATGCCTCCAGACCACCAAGTGTATCTGAAATCTGCATCCGAATGTTCTCTACTGTTCTCAATGCATGAGGTGTCCCAGAGGGATCACTCTCTAACCTCGTGTGATCAGTCCAGTCAGAGGAGTCGCGACATTCAACGGGACGCATACGATCATCCCAGATCGCCTTCCCCGGTTGCGGCCAGTAAGACGCCAGATCTTCAGAAGAGAACTTTCTCAATGCGCGGTTAGCATGGGCGTGTCCGACCACAATATAATTACCCCAGTTCCAGAAAGCAACAGTTCCTCCAGGGCGAACGATTCGCGTCATTTCTTTCCATACCAGGTCAGGGTCAAACCAATGTGCTGCCTGGCAAGCTATTACCAAGTCAACTGTACCTGCCTGGACGAAGGGGAGAGACTCTGCCCAGCACTGGCGGTACTGAATATTCCCACATTTTGTCTGTGCTCCGGCCTCCTTCAACATGCTCTCAGAAGGATCAACTCCCAAGATCAACCCGAAGTGGCTGGCTAGGCCGCGGGCTGCAGCGCCGTTACCACAGCCCAGGTCGATACACAAGTCTTGTGGGGCTTGATTATAGGCCAGAACAGTGTCAAAAAGGTGTTTTGGAGGTGGTGGGCGACATGCCGCATATGCAGAGCAGTCGTAGTTGTCATCCCTGGGTTAGGCAAATTGTGAGTATATCGAACGTCTTAATTTGGGTCGACTTACGAGAAACTGGCCATTACTTGAATGCGGGCTGTCTATGGAGTTCTGCACCGGAGTTGAGGTGAAATGCTGCTTCCATACAGTATTTGCCACTTTTTGCACTATTGGAAACATATGTTGTATTCTGAAATCTGGGTTTCTCAATCTATCGACATGCTACAGATGCGCGACTCGTTTTCTATGCAGTGTTTCCCCGCTCCAAATGTTGTCGACTGACCTTCACGGAATTGGGAAACAGTCTAGCTAATGACGTACTTAGCTCCGAAGTACGGGTATTTCTTCTCTTATTACCACCCTACTACATGTAGCAGGTCTTCCTATAGAATCATCACACCCATCACCGATCATACCGTGATGTTTAAATTACTCACCTTATATCCGAATACTACTAAAACGGATCCACAATTAGTTTTCGATTATCGCATTGAGCCCGGAAATACGGTGGTCATCCACTTTCGGGTGGAGGGTTTCATCCATTTCTGAGCAATGTTGCATTCCAGCGTCGTCGGCAGGAACATCAATGGGAGCATCATTAGGGTTAATTCATGGTTTCGGCTGTCATTAACCACGTATTCGACATGAAACTATTGAAATAATACAAGTCGCTATTTCGAATTCCATATTTTGTACCGCTTAATAGTCTGCATCGTATCCAGCCCAGGGAGGCTGATTCTGTTGTCAAGGCAGTTGCTAAGATTGAGCAAAATGCCAGCTTACCGGGGAGAAGGTTGTCCTACGATGCAAATGACCGAGAGGGGAGAACGTATCACACGCAACTCGACTGAATGCAAAGTTACAACGCACATCACAGAGACAGCAGACCGTGTAATCGATACATCGCTCAATCGGCGACAGGCTCTCTTTGAGACTACTAGGCGAGTTCTGGCAAGTGCAGTGAACGAGGGCCTGGCCAGCGCAACTATAGTGAGGTCTATACATCCAAACTTGGTGTTGTGTCTACGTGACCCAGCTGGAATTGTAGAGTCTTGGATCAAATGTGGTCTCCGAAATTCCGCCTATGTTGAGAACAACGATAAGAAAGTCACTGGATTTCTACGTGCGGACGATCTACTTCCTCCAGTGCTCACTCAAGCAGTCGAAGGGGAAGTATCAGAAGATTTAGACCCAGGTGCCATTTGCCGCATTATCTGCCTCTGGCAACCTGAAAATTTTCCGAGTGCCGCCGTAGACACACTTGTGAAGGAAGTCCGAAATTCTGCCGACAATCAAGGTGAGCCTCCAAGGCATATTTTAAACGTCCAATTCTAACATGAGACAGCAAAATGGCTGGAGATAGCCAGTACTCAGCCGACGCTACATCTGAAGTCCCCTTTGTGTGATTGGGAGCAGTCCGTTGTGCTTGGCCATCCAACGCATCCGGTGAGCTGTCCCACTACCTTTCTCGATCCTAATTGCCTTAGTGTTAACGCTGTGAAGCTACACCGGGCATGTCTTGCCCAGCCGCCTTTGAAGCCCATGGCACCTGACGAGATCCCTGATCTGCTGGAACCTGAGCTATCGTTTCTGTCTTTGCCACGATCAGAAATGAAAACCTTCGGACCATACACGAGTTTACTTAAACCTCTTTTGGAGGAATTAGGGATTCCTAGCCCTGAGTCACCAGACAGAGTAGTAGTACCGTGTTTCACTCGTCAGCTTCCGAGCATTCTGCCGCTCTTTCCTGATGCACGCCACATTGGTGCTGTTAGAAGATGCTGTCGTGCGCAGATTTCAATGCGTACTATATCATTCCTCCCTGATGTGGGGTCTCCTTTGCATCTTAAGCTCTCACTGAATTGCCAGATCACATCAGGCCCGAGGACTATTACACCGTGGACTGCTGCTTTAAGTCCAGCACTCAGTACAGCGCTGAGAGTCTTACTGCCACAAGACTTATGGATCTTTGAAGATGCCGCTTCTATCACAGGCGGCCAGGATGATTTTGACAAAGCACGCCATTTAACATGCATTATACGCAAAAGCCCGGAAATACAAGCGGAAGAGCTTGGAGAGACTATTATCCCAGTGGCTGGATTATTTCAGAAGCCATATAAGGATAATCGAACATACATGGAGATCATGTTCGGTCTCGAAGATCTCCAGAAAAAGCAAACATGGCTTAGAAAGTACTGTACCCACCCGCCTCAAGCCAGGTTTAGCTCGCTTCTTTATCTAACAGAAGTCCTTTATAATAGATATCTTGCAAAGTTATTCTCCTTGCTTCTGCCGCCCTTAGTCCGTCACGGAATTGGCCTCGAGGCTCATGCTCAGAACATTTGCGTCCGCATTAATACTACCTCAAAAGAGGTTACTGGATTTGCTGTGCGAGACTTTGGTGGAGCAAGAATTCACCGACCTACATTCTTCCGGACTCGCATTGAACTCGGTACAATTCCTCCTGGCGCTAGCGCTTTTGTGGATGATATGCAAAAGGTGTGGCACAAGGTATACCATGCTCTAATCCAGATGCATGTTGGCCATCTTTTATATATGCTAGGCTTGGAATCCCATGGAGGGTGGCCCATTGTTCGAGAGGAGCTCGGAAGAGTCCTGGTCTCTTTGGGCAATCCAGATGCCAAGGCAGTGCATGACCATTTTATGAATAAGACCATGGCTTTCAAGTGTTTCATGGAAATGCGACTCAGAAATATCTATCGTGATGTAAGTCTATTTCGTGATACTTCAGAGGCATATGCGTCGAGTTTGGTTTCGGCTAATGGCGTATAGTACTATGAAAGAGAGCTGCCGAATGTTCTCCTTCGGGATGTGCAGTCAGAAGATGACCCTACTAGCAAAGCAGAAGTTTGAAACGCCTACTGAACCGGCAAGTGGCCTTTCGGACCTCCGCTTTGCCGCATTCAACCCGTATAAATGACTTTTGAACATGGGACACAATATTGTGCATGCACACTGTTCTTCGCTCATAAATGAAAGTAGCTCACTGTTTTTATTTTACTACTCAGCCGAGCAGTGTAGCTTTATGCGCCCCATAGTAATTGAATTCCTAAGAGCAGGAGCTAAGCCTTTATCTACGTTATATAACAGCAAAGAGCGCGCTGGTCTCATGAAAAGCCAGTGCCCAACAGGAGATCGAATCAAATTTGTAGAGGACCTATCGAAGCACCCAACGCTTTATAATGCATTGTGTGTGTTTGAAATATAGTACTGGCTGTGTATAGTTATGATTAATTTATTTCCGATCTTGGAAGCTAGCCATGCACCGTCATGAGGACCACCCCGCCGGGGTCCTGCGCCGCGAAACGCAGGAACATTCTGGGACAACCAGATCTCGCAGAACGAGTCCCGATGTTATAAAGAATTCCTCAAATGAAGCTTTTCCGCATATTCCGAGCGAGCCTTCTGTGATGCGATTGGAGGTATGAGGTAGATCGCGAGGCAAACGTATAGAGCGATCGTGCTGTCGATCTCGGAATAGTGAACTGTGGATCTGAATGATGAGATAAACCTGAAATAAATAGGTTCATCCTGTGCTATAACATATAGGTAACCGCGGTTAATAACTATATTGGTTTTTCTCCGTTCATGTCTCAGCTGACGTCCATGTCCATGCGCATTGCTAGCAATCATACGAACGCGATAGCTGGATGTTCAGCTGCCAACATGTTAGGTTCCACGCGAGTCTGCCAGATTGCCGACAATTGAATAGCCTATATGAGCTTAATACTCCGACTGACTCCAATTCACGAAAGAGAAGCCCACGGAGACTCTCCGGAGCCGTCCTGTTTCACGTATCCGCTGCCAAGCATCCCCTCTCCATCGGCATCGCTGGCCGCTTCAGCATGTATCCGTGGTGTCCCATGGGGTCTTCTGGGCATTTCATCATAATTGCAGTAATTGCTGCCTGTCATGTAGCACCCCTATCTCATTATTTCTCAGTGACTCAGGTCAAATTCAGGTAGCGTCGAAATAGACTTAATGAACTCTGATATAGCCTCACAGTGGAGCATCGGTTTGGCAGGCCGCCGGGCGGTGAAGAGCCGAGACCCTGGCATCGATCAAGATGAAACCCCAGTTCCATTAACCAGGGGAAATGCCCCATCAGGGTCTCACTCTCATCGAGAACAATGGCACCAGAAAGGCTTAGGCCACACCCTTAATTCCCACATTAGCGCTCCTGTTGGAACCAGTAGTCTGTCTCACCAGCCATATATAATCGAGCAAGTCCCCCGATATTTGCATCAGCAGCAACACATACTCATTGCAGACAGCTTACCAACTATCGCCCGTCATGCGTGGCTCTTTCGCTCTTTCTCTGCTCTCTGCGGCGCTGGGCGCCTCTGCTGCTCTCACTGAGTCTAGCCTCAAGACCCACGTCGACGTGCTGGCACTCGACAGCTCCTTCAACCCCATCGAGGCGGCCTACTGGACCGACTACATTCACCATCGTCGCACTCCCTTCGCTGTCTCCCCCGATGGAAAGACTGCGTATCTTGCCTACCTGGATGCCAGCGGGTCTGACGTCCACGTTACCGAGCTGGACCCGACTACCTTTGAGGCTACGGGAACCACCGTCACTGTCAGCGGTGGACAGGAAGGTATGCCACATACAACTCTTTCTCGGCTGTAACTCCACTAACAGCTCCAGCTGGTGGCCTTGTCGCCCACAATGACGGCTTCGCCCTGTTGACCAACGAGGCCATGCCCTCCGGCACCACCAACGCTCCTCCCAGCGACACCCCCGTCCCTGTCCTCCACCGCTACACCAACGGCAAGCAAACCTGGAAGACCTGGCTCGGTGGCCCCGGCGTCCACTCCTCCGACGGTCTCTCAGCCTCCCCCGACCTGAACGGTGACCTGGTCTACTCCGAATCCGCCGGCCTCTACGGCGCCTACTTCGTCGTGACCGACTACTCCGGTGACGCCTCCGGCCACTACGGCGACAGCATCGAATATGTCGCCGACAACGGTACCCTCGTGACCATCTCCGGCGCCTCCAGCTCCTGGGGCTGCAGCCACAACACCGGTATTGCCTTCGAGGCTGCTGACGAGCCTCCCTATGCCAGTATCTGCGCCGAAGACCAGGGCGCCATCTGGCTGAACACCAAGACCCAGGGCATGACCAACGACGGCGTCAAGATCTCCAACGAGAACACCACCAACGGCGCCTCCGGTGAAGCCATGGGCGGTATGGGCGGCAGCTACAGCGGTCTGGCCCGTTTCGCTGATAGCACTCGCTACATCTTCACCTGGGTGTCCCGCGGCGCTGTCGACGTGACCGAGAACACCTGGATGGGCGACGGTTACACCCACGTCAGTAACCGCACTAACCCCCGCAATGTCGCCCTCGCCCTGTTCACCGACAAGTACACCAAGGTTGGCAAGCAGGCTACCTCCACCGTCGGTGACGAGGACGGCGATAGCCAGGTCACCTGGGTTACCTCGGGGTCGAACGACTGCTCCAACGCCCACGTCGCCACTTTCGGTAACTCATCGGCCCTCATCACCTGGGAGGAGATTTCCGATCCCCTCTGCGAATACATCGCCATGGGCTGCCGTGGACAGTTCGCCGGAACTTACTTCCAGCAGGTTGATTCCGATGGTAACAAGGTCGGCGATGCCTTCAAGAGCACCGATGTCTATGTGTCGGGAGATATGGTCACCATGTCGGATGGCCGTATCTGCTGGCCGTATGTCAACATGGACTGGGATCTTTCTGAGGTCGTCTGGTCTGCCGATAGCTCCAAGTACACTAAGAAGATGAGTTTTGCTTGCATTGGAGGTAGCGGTAGCTCCTCGAACTCTACTACCACTGCCTCTGCTACTGCCGAGGCTAGCACCTCTGCTTCAGTCGCTGTTGTAAGCAGCGCTTCTGCGGCTGTAACCCACGTTGCTGCTGGCGCGGCTAGTGCGTCGGTTGAGACTGTTTCCGAGACTCCTGTTGCCCCCAGCAGCGTTGCCGCTGTCGCTGCGGAGGCCACCTCGGCTGTTGTCTCTGCCCAGGTGCCCAGCTGGAGTGTGGGTGGGGAGTCCCGTCCTTCTACCTTCCAGACCCAGGTGCAGGTGCCTACCCAGGCTGCTCAGGCTGGATTGAACTGGGGAATCAACAAGGGATTTGGCCAGGGATTCGGTCAGGAATCTGGCCAGAGTGAGGAGGAGCACGAGGGACACTGCCAGTTTTAAGTCATGGGCAGGTTGAGTGCGTGTGATGGGTGGTGACAGATGATCTTTCATAGTACTAGACATCATCAATAGTGTAATCACACAGCTCTTCCCTTGTTCATCATGGTCGTGAAGTGTCAAAGAGCATATCAAAATAGACAATGAAGAAATCGGACGGTGATGACCTCAACATCTAGACTACTGACCCCCCATGGAAGCGAATCGCTCCAACACCTGCTCCCTCACCTCCCTCACAATGCTCTCCGCATCCTTAACCTCATGAACCAACCCAATCGACGCCCCCGCATACGTCGCCAGCCTCCCCTCCGGTCCCCATGCCTGATCCCCCTGCTTCGCCGCCTCATCATGTAGCACCTTCAACTCCTCAAATCCCTTCCCAGCCAGATGCTCCACCCACGACCGATTAATGACCGTCCTGGGCATATACTCCTCCGGCCACCCAAACGTCCCCCGTAGATGATTATACAACAACGTCTTCGTAGTCCCCACAGCCCCATCCTCCGCCCTCACAACCTCCTGCTGATACCCGCGCGCGATCCTCGTCTCACTCGCAGCCAGGAACCTCGTCCCCATGACCACCCCAGACGCACCAAGACACAGCGCCGCCGCTGCTCCCCGTCCATCAGCTATCCCGCCCGCAGCAAACAGCGGGATCTGACTCCCCGCCATTGCATCAGCCACCTCCGGTAAGAGCGAAATCAAACCCATTGCATCTTTAGCTCTGCCGTGCCCACCCGCTTCCGCACCCTGAACGACAACCACATCGGGTTTCTCTGCCGATTTCAAGATACTCCTCGCCTCGGACAACGTCCCGATCTGGATCCAGATCTGAGTTCCCGGTGACGCGGCACGAATCCCTCGGGACCAGGTATCTAGATCTGCTTGGCCGTTAGGTGGGGCGTAGAGCCATACCGCGCAGGGCTTGTATTTCTGGATGGTTTCGACGGCAGTGTCGAGGTCGTCGGCCCAGAGGAGGAAGCCCACGCCGATGGGGAGATGGGGAGATGGTATTGTCTTGAGGGCAGATGAGGATATTAAAGATGATGCTTGCTCTAGATCTGCGGCTACGTTTTGGATGGCGTTGTTGACGAAGCCCAGGCCCCCGGCCCGCGATACTGCCACGGCTAGGGCGGGGCCGGACATGACGCGCATGGGAGCGCTCACGATTAGGGGGCTGGTGGTCCATGGGTAGAGGCGGGAGAGGTTGGGTGCGAGGTGTTGGAGTCGTGGCATTTTGTGTGTGATTGTGGTTGTGATTATGATTTTGATTGTTTTTGGGACATGAGTGGATATAGATGCAATAAATGATTGATGAGGATGAAGAAGAAGATGATGAAAAAAGTAATGGAGGGGATGAGATGACGTGAGATGAGATGGGATGGGATGGGATTATGGGGTTAAGAGAGTGGGGCTAATCAGTTCCGTTGATTGCCGAGCGCGTATTGCGGGTGTTGCGGAGTGGAAGCATTCACCGTGCTTATAGGACAATGATGGATATGGCCTATCTTATGCTAAGATAGTGGTAAATCTTGGTCCATATGGATGGAATCCCATCCAATATACAGTTTCCCTAGCTCGCTAACAAACACTCAGTCAGAACAACGCCCCTTCCACTCATAACATGCTCTCCAGTCTATCCCACAACCAACACCAGTCTCAACCGAAAT